TAGGTAGTATGAAATTGAAGAGATGAGATACAGCGAATTCATCGTACTCAATAAAGTGCAACCCTAGAGGCAGTTAAAGGTTTAGGTGAAAGATATGAAGATTTCGAGATTGTGAACAAGATGGATAGGTAATGCTTATAATGCATTACGATTAGCAAATCGTTAGCGTTTTAGAATCGACCGAAGCAAAGAATAACAAACTACTACTTAAATGTTAAAAGTGCAACTTTTCGGCTAAACTACCGTACTTAAAGGGTTTCACCCTCTAAAATTTTATTCCTGAAAAATGTGTATTCCACAGAAGTGCTGATTTCTACTTCACTAAGTATAGGAAAGAATATGATGGCGAAACTAACTCTGTTGCAACGGGAATTCCATGCATATTTGCTCTGTCGCTACATTTATCAAAAGGGTCAGACGATCACCAAGTACATAAAAGCCTATCCTAAAACAATGCTCAACTTGTAATCAACAGTGACATACCAGCAACGAATAGGTGATCCATGTCCTTCGCTTTTTGGTGTCTGCTGCAGACGTATTGTAGAACAGATTTCGAAAACCAATAATGATACGTGGTAACCTCACCGATTTAACAGGAAACATGACGTACCTGCGATAATAAAAAGAGATAACTTGTTACATGAAATGAAAATACACAAGCCAAAGTTGGTTGAATAGGCTTTAACCTGTGCTTTAATGAATGGCAGTTGAGGATCGACACCATTCTGACCCCAAGTGTATGGCTGTAGTTGGCATTCGAGATATTAGATATTTCTCATTCCGTAAAAAAAATGCAAAAAGCGGCAGAAGAAACCGACAACAGTGCAAATTTAATGTATAAGTAGAATTAATAAAGCCTGAATCAGTTAAAAGCAAGATTTAGCAGTGATTACGTAAAAAAAACTTCATTGGAAACACTTGCGCGTCACTTCGAGTCAAGCCAGATTAATCTAAGTTTGCACCTACTGTGCGCCCTTAAAGTGGAAATGTTCACAAGCATTCTGGTACTAAAGATAATACCTGTACACAATGGTACTGTTTGACTTTTAAAGTAGCTTCATAGTTTATTTTGCTAAGACAAGTCAACAGACAGTATGAATTAGTTGCGAAAATTCCACTAATTAGGTGCACGGTATCATGACTAAACGCTTGAGTTCCAGATTGGATGAGAAAACCAATAACTGGTATCTATTCTGTATACCCAGTTGAGCCAGTCAGCTCACTTGCTAAGGCATCAGACTTGCCTAGAGCTTGTGGCTCATTAGTCCAGGGACTTGAGTTTCAATTAGTGGGTTCCAGCTTAGAAAACGGCTTCACTTGACAAGATCTGAGTATAAACTTAGTGGCTAGTTGATTGAGGCGTAAACGTGAACATGGCCGCTGAGTATACTTCTTCCTTTATAGTGCAATATAGTTATGAAACTCAAAAACTACGCAGTACGTTTTACAAATTCACCTCTGCCTATAAAACTTGTGAGTAGGTATTCATAGATTGATTTGATTCACATTGAAACGAATCATAAACCTGTAGTATGCCTTATCTATCAGTTCTTTCCTAATTGTTCGCTTAATTCTATATGAAAACATCCAACTATAGAGATATCTATATCTTTAACATAACACCGGCATTCCAGTTGACACCAGGCCATATGAAGTTACCAAGATATGCAATGATAAAAGGTGTGTCCAAAGATGTATTCTTATATCTAGCAAGCATACTGTGTCACTAACCAAAATGTATTTCACGTTAGGAATTCCATGAAGGATCATACACCAATTCATCACTGTACGCCCCAACAAGAAAAATAAGCTAGGAATCACGCAGATAAACCCTCTCTAGAAGCTTGAAGTCAACCCTAAAAACCTATATCGATTCGTTGAGGAGAAAGTTTACTAACCAGGGAGCTTGCATTATGAAAGGCTTGGACAGAGAGAATTTTTCTGGACTGGAGATTGCCAAAATCTTTAGCGCCACTTTCTACACACAAACATTCCGTCGTTCAACCAAAATTATCAACTGCTTGTGTAACCTTCAGCACTACTTAGCGTTGGATGGAGTAAAGGTAACTCCCACTATGATCCTCGAAAAATTGTCAAAGCTCTGTGCAGGAAAATCACCGGGATGCGATTACATTCGACCGTCTGTGTTGAAACAGTGTGGAGGTGCTGTTTGTGGTCCAACTAGTAATACACTTCCACACTCCTCAGACAAACACACGCGTCCACGAGAGTGGAAACTTGCTATTCTCTCTCCCATCTTCAGAAGACGAGAAAGGCAGAACCCAAAATGCTTTCGTCCCACAGCACTTCCACCAGTCCTGTCGAAAGTAATGAACAGCCTGTGGATGATCATGCCAGACAGTACTCGGACAAGGGGGCAGCACTAACTGATGATCAACACAGTTTCTGAAAGGGTACATCCTGCGCCTTCAAACCTTCTGGCAGCCGATGACAACTGGACGACATACTGGAACCTCCAAGTCCTTGTTCGTATGACTTTCCTGGGTTTCGCCTAGGCCTTTAACACAGACACAAACGACATTCCGATTCACAAAATATCAAGGTTGGGTATCAACAGTCAAATCCTCTCCTAGCTGGAGGACTATTTAGACGACAAAGAACTATGCTCGACTTGGAGAACCTCATTATCCAGTGTACCACAAGGAGCGATTTTGGGTCCGTTGCTGTTCCTACGTTTTGTGAATGACCTCCCATTAAGTCTCAGTTTCCCGGTTCTCCTTTAAGCTGACGATGTCAGCTTATGGAGAGCTGTGAAGTCCAAAACAGGATCAAGTGAGCCACAATGTGACCTCAAATTGCTTGCAGAGTGGGTGAATGACAACAAATTAGCCTTTAATGCGGATTCATTCGAATAGTACTTTCCTATCTGCGGATTCATTATTATGTTGATACACGACGACGGCTGTTTGTTATACCTACACCTGCAAGACCACGGGAAACTGTCATCGAATCAGGAGGAAATTGTTGGATGATTTGAAAAAAGTTGCCGTATTGATGTTTCGAAGTATTCGTCACTAACGCAGTGCACACACATGGATGACCCGAGATGCCAGAGTTTAGGCTAGCGAAGCCTGTTGTGCGGTTTGACAGGGTTGTGTTCGTGTAAAGCCTTAATATGTAGCTTGTGGCGTGGTTCCGGCATACCAGTGATTGTGCTCCGTGAACTAGAATCGCTTTGGAGATCTGCAGAGTTGGGAGCAATTAAAGATGACATAAGTACATAGACCGAGAGACGGCTAAAGTTTGAAAGATAATGTTGAAGGTTGATAATGTTGGGAAGCAACTTTAGAGCTGACAGAGTTATGAGGCTGTTCGGCACTTCCTGGCTGTTCACATCGTGGAAGGTTACCCCTCCTTGACATGCCTGAGAAAGAAATTGAATTTGTGCTTGTGGTGCGTGACTGCGAATATGTACTTTTAGCTAATTACACGCGGTCGTTTTGGCTGTTTGAGGTCTAAGTTTATTATTGCGAATCCAGGTACAAACCGATACCGCTGGGTGGAGGGGCGTGTGCTAATTTTGGTGCCGACTTTTTCTAACCCTTCTTCTCATATGAAACGTGTTATTGGCATGTTACTGCTGGTCATCTGCTTGGAATACTTTTTTTGTGTGACATCTCCATTAAACGCTCAATACAACTTCACCTTCTTACCCCTGTCATAGTGTTATAATTTACACCAAAAAAGTTACTTTTTTCTGGCCACTTTTTGGTATTGGCGTACGTCAAGGGAACAATTGCTCAACCAGTATAGCTCGTCGGACCGTTTTGGTATGCCCTTACTACCATCATTACGTCAAGGCGGTAACTATCGATTGGGATAGTTACTTTCTGTGATACTGACATCAGCTAAAAGTAGTTTGGCGTGTGACTTTTGCAAATCAGAATTCCTTTGTAATCCTGTCTATCAACCTTGAAAACTGCAAATATGTGTTTATTTTACTGCAAACTGAAAGTGTTCAGCTTCCAAATCCTTTGACACAATATGATTTGTATTTAGACGTATCGTCAATTTAATCACTAGGACATGTGAGACTATACTTTCCATGCTTTCAACATATCACGTTTGGTAAAACATCTGGAAAGGACAAGATAATTTCATGAATAAAGTGATTGAGTTTAACTCTGACTTCTTGGAAAAAGCTATTCGAAATGACCACAGGTTGGTTTTTAGAGATTTTCTCAGCCTTATTGAAGGGTGTCTAACTAAGCACATGTATCATTTTGTGTATATTCATTTGATGAATAACACGGTTGGTAAAATAATATGAACATAATATACAAGTGGCTGTCCTTCCCCAGTTGCATATGGGACAACACTTGTTTTTGAAGCGATGGGTACTGAGTTCGAGTCCCAGTGGGAACAACATCAGTCACTTGGGCGCAGGTACATCCAGCTGACAAGTCTCGAATGAGAGTAAACGCTTATTCTGGATTCCACTGCTAGTCACCAATATGAATGCAATGTACTGAAATAAATTAATTTCATAGAATACTCCCGAACTTTTCCTGAAGATGATTTTCTCCGCAAAGTGATGAAAATTAAAAGTCATTTGCGGAGTTCAGCCGGCACTGTACAGTTATTCCATGCCTATTAGGAAGTAAACACTTTGCATCCCATATGAGATTAAAATCAAGAATATATGGTCTTAGGACAAGTGCTTTACCAAATGCCACAGGTCGGATCAACCATGCACATCGCAAAAGTTTCTTAATAGGATCATTTCTGAATGTTAACATGGACTCCACAAAGTTTACACATTTTATTTGGCGTAAAGTGTGTTGAAGAATTGTAAAGTAGAACAAAAAATCTGTTCAGTGAATCCTGATTTTCCGTTGGCTAGTTTCGTGACAAAAACTATTTTCAAACTATTCTGTTAGATCCTAGTGATGTTTACTTTTATCTATTTCAACTTGCTAGTCTCCAGAAAGTATTCGACAACCTTTTCTTGTTTCAAACATTTTTTCGTTACATTTTAGGTCAAAGGAATAGTGGAATTATCGGGTTATGTGCGGTATCCAGAAAAGGTATTTTTTACATTTTCATAGTATACATTTATTTATATTGACTGGAACCATTAAGTTGCTAGATGTTCAAATAAGTACTTACAAAGTTTTCGCCTTGTGGGAAGATAGATTGATTTTCACCACCATTATTTTCATCACCTGTCAACGTCAAGTGGGAAATGAATAAAATATATGGGCACTAAATGACTACATCAATCATGTTTAAGAGTAGTGTACGCTCAAAATCTGAGGGGAGGGGGTCGAACCAGGGATCTTCATGTCTCATGTGGAGCATGTTACAATTACGCCAATCCAGTCGCCTGCATTTTGCTATTGCTTTCTATTTGCGATGCGGTGTGAACATCTTCCGATGTCATTGGCAATCATCTGTCACCAGACTCAGCTTGATCACCTCCACAGGTGATGACTTTTCATTGAAATATCAGAAATTCTAATTCGAAGAGGAAACAGCTTCCCAGCTCTTACAGGTTTCCAGCCATCCTCTAAGGGATGTCAATCCATAATGAAAATTCCCGTACAATAATCGTTTTCATTGAGTTATTAGGCTTAGAAAGCATATGAGTGTTCATAGAGCTATAGGAGCTTTGCTAATTAAATGCTTAACTCCTAATTTTCGCTCTTCAGTGAAGATAGAGAAATAAAGTACATTTCCGCAATACCAACCAATTTAGATTTAAATCCTCGTCTAAGGGTCCTAAATCGGAAAGTTGATAAAAGTGACATTCAAACTATCTCTCTGTATCAGTTGTTTAAAACTGCATTGGTGACGTGAAACTCACTGTGGATATAGTTCTTTTGTTTTGACCTTTTTAATCGACTGTTTGAAAGATTCCGTATGTTTTCCCAGGAGATCCTGAGAAATCTTATAGTCTCTCGATTACCGATGATTTTTTGAGTGTGCTTTCATAGGATCTAGAGGTTTTCATTTGAGAACTGCTCTCCCTGTAGCATTCTCAGTCTCTACGCAAAAAAACTGTTCGTTAAATGAATACGTGACAAAGTACCCTGCTGATGCCATCTCAAACTGTATTCACAAACATACATACTATGATTCGGCTACGAAAAATTCGTTACCGACGATGTTATCTTCCAAATCCGTTCGATTGTATTTATATATATAAACAGATACCAGTCTATCATTGAAGAGCAGGATACAGTCGCATCATTTAGTTAGTGTTAAAACTAAAATGAAGCCTATGAAGGAGCTGCGTAATAAGCTTTTAGACAATGCAAACGATAACGAAGGCGAGGAGTGAAAATTGCTGTTAGATGTGAAATGCGATAGTTGAGTGCCCACCTAATAGATGTAAAGAAGGTTAAGGAAGAAATATTAGTTATGATGATGGTAAAGGTATACTAGTTAGGACGAAACTGAAAAAGGCAAGAAAAAAATGTAGAAGTTGTAAGACCTTAGTGTAGTAAGAGCTTGAACATACATCATCTGCTCACAGAGATCACGCTTGAATCGGTGAATTGCCAGGGCAAGGCTTTTGTCATGCACGACTTTCGAAAACTCACTCCTTTTAAACTCTTTCGTTTAGCTCTATAAATGACACTGAAGTAGGACTCTAATGGAGCTATATTTCCAGAGTTAACGAACTGTTCAAGAATTGAACTGTCAATTGATTTGCATTCTCCTCTCGACAACTATGCACAATAGTGCTCAGAGATACGTTTCGGAAGTGTGCAACCTGTAAAACTAACTCAACAGTAGCACATAGGCGTCCACTAACTCTCTTCCTCTTACCATCGTGCAAAATTTCATTATTTCTTGATTACTTTTTGTTATCTTTTCATGACTTTCTGTCACTCTTGAATACTGCCTTCTTTGTTTCTATATCTTTCATCTTGGTGCATTTTCACGTGATATGCTAATATGAGGTGTGGTAAAATGAACTGTTACTCAGTCATGCCAGGTTCCACCTTCATGCTTACTGACTGACGGACTGTTTTTTCAATAAGCTCAAATGTGCAGAATGGTGATACAAAGATTAAAAAATCTCAAAAATACAGCAGTATGAATAAGATTTAGTGCATAAGAACTGCTTTAATGTTGTAGGAGATTAAGAGCAGTACACATTCTTTAAAAACCAATAGTTATTTCATAAGCTTCATCAAAAAATGTTTCCAAAGAAAATAAAAACTACCTTTTATCTTCAACGTTTAAAACAAGTTTTCTGTTTAAATGTTAAAACTAACCTAAGAACCATCGATCTTCTGTTTCTTGTTCTCACTCGGAACTTCAAAAACTATAGAAAGAAAACCAGGCAAGTTAGAACAGAACCTTGCCTCACCTCGAAATGCCATACTTGATGGAATTATGGGTAGTGATATTCAAGTCAAAAGAAATGAAATGATGTTTAATAGACTATTTGAGATTTCAATTATTATAGGAGATTCATTTTGAATGATGTTACCATGAGGTGTCAACTACTAATTCCTAACTTCTCAACAACACTCACAAGACTGCCTAGATTTCTCTAACCGGCTCATGGCAGCGATCAAGCTTGATGACTTGTTGCCGTGTTTACAGTCTAGCAACTGAAGAGTCTACAGATGTGATCCTTTCTATTTTGGTATTCTGTCTTGAGACACGCAGAAGCACCACATGTGCAGCAAATCTTTGTACCCCTTCATTTTACAACCTAATCGACTAGTTCACCGTCCTTAATTAATACTCCATGCCTATCCATAACATTGTCGAGCAGTGCTGTAATGGAGTTCGGACACATGACCCGCTGCTGAGAAGTCTTCTGTCTACAGCTTCATATAACCATCCACCGCACAACTGTAGATATACCGCTTAAACTCAACAAGCAGTAAGCTAATAAAGCAGGTGACATATATCAACAAAGCTTAATATCCACAATTTTGTCTTACAATAATAAGTCAAACAGATCAGCATTTTACGGGAAAGTTACTCATCAACCATAGTTTGGTGTCTTGCAAGGTCTAGGAATATTCTGCATGAGCATCTATACAACTTCAAAGTGAACGCTAGTAAAACGCCTAGAATCAAATATGTCTGTGTTCTGACAGCATTTCACAGTTGTCACTGCTAAATATACTATGACTAGTAAGATATAGTTGTCATACATGAGAAATGATGATTGTGTTTCTGTCAGATTTACTGATGACTAAGTAAATACTATTACCATCGTGAATGCTAACATAGTTAAGTGGATAAAGTCGTCGTACAAAATGTGATACTGAACGCCAGTTAATAGTGACTATACGTGTGATTTTATACTTCTATAATCATGTAATGGAATTTAACTTACGCGAATATGTAATCATTATATCACATCGATTTTGTTTCCAGCCACCAATTCGAATCTTTGGTACAAAAATTAAAAATCTTATCTGCCTAGACGAAAACCAAAATCCTCATATTCGTTATTCTTGTCGAAATATTGAGAAAATGTGTGATGATCTGAAAACGCTACCAATATTTGTGGATGCTGATTATGGTAGGTGGTACTTGTGTTTTATCATAAAGTAAAAATTTCAGCTACTGTTCTGAGAATACGTTGACTGTTGAGATAAACATTGAAGTTATTTAATTTTGGGTGTTGGAGAAGTTCGAAACATGCTGTGGAATCTTATGTTCTTGTTCATATTGGTTAATCATAGGCACAGCTTAACTATGAAACCTATTTTTTCGCCGGATCAAAGGCGTATCGTCTCAATTTAGGTCCAGATATGCCCCAGTATTGATTTATGTGCAATAAATTTATTGGCGATGTGATTCCATTGTCCTAAAGGCTTAACTTTCAGCTCTGAGTTGAAATCCACCTACTTTGACCTGAACAACCGAGTGGTCTGGTCATCTAATCTTCCTTAACTTCTCTTGGTCAATATTCCTAAATCATCTTTGATTTCATCCAGTTCTGCAGCTCTTGGCAACTATCAAAGTTCACGGAATAACTTCACTGGTCTCCTGAAACTGCACTCCAAATTAAACATTAGAGCTTTTAATATCCTCACCCTCTATCAAATCGGACAGCAATCTTCACTAGCCAAAACTGTGGCATCTCGGGCCACGAATGTGTGTTCTGTTTATGAGACACGCATAAAGGACGTAAGTGCTAATATTCGCTTCGCCTCACCTTCCAAGCATGGTAAACCTGCAAAGCTCACCCTTCGAGCTTCTGGAGATTCGATGATTACTTTTCATGGTCTTGCACAGTGAGGACTAAAAGGATTGGTGAAACTCACCGTTGTTTATTTGTAATTTCTACTTACACACCTACTGACTGCAGTTTAGAAGTGAAGGATGAGTTCTAACGAACAATTTCTAACCTCGTACTGGAAGCCGAACGTTCAGATATGGTTGTTGTTACAGGTGATTTTAATGCATAAGTAGGTAGGCTAATTCAGTCAGAAAAGCACTTGTGTGCCACTTTCTTAATCCCAACCAAACGAACGGATAACGGTAACCGTCTGCTACAAATGTTCTCAGACAAACATTTATTTCTGACTAGCATGAACTTCGGATATAAAGAGGGACATTGTTTGACATGGGGTTCACATTCCAGGAATTCAAAGTACTAAGGCTGTTTTCAATAACAGTTAGACAGTTAGCTGAACGGAACAACATCATTCATCCAGGCGAAGTCTGATACCTTCACTAGTCGGTTGCAAAAGCAGCAATGAGAGAGTGGTTAGAAAGACTCACTAGATCTCATCAGCTCCTTCTGAACTAATGGATGCAGGTAAATCCATCCCTGCAGATTTCGAGCATTATGAAGATCGGAAGTAATTCAAATGTAGACTGACAAAAAGTCTACGTAGTGACTGCAAACAGTGATGGGCAGTGGAAAATAAAGAGATGGAAAAGGCAAGGGGGTCAAGTAACGGCAGATAGCTATTTAGAATCATAAAGGAAACTTAAGTGAAAAGGGTTAATGATTAACGAGACCATACTGAAGGGTGGATCTGTGGTTTATTCTCGGGGGAGATCACTGGAATGATGGACGGAACAGTTCTGTTTCGTTGCCCGTTATCCAATCGGGTCCTGAATGGAACATTGAGATAGGACTCCTAGCACCTGCAGAAGTTGAGAAGGTTGTAAGTAACCTGATTCGAGGAGGAGCAGTAGACCAGATGGACTAGTTCCAGTGGCGTTTCATGACGGTGGTAGGGAATTCTTGATTAAGTTAACTGATTTGTTAACTAGTGTATGGGAGTCAAATATGACCCTTTTAAACTGTTCTCAATCATAGTCTTCAAGAAAAGTGAGGAATCTTTTCGTGAAAACCACAAGGGAATCGGCCTGATGGACATAGTGTTCTGTGATCATTAGATGTCTGAGTAGAGCTTGGAAATACAGTCACAATCAACGTAGAACCTTGCACACAAGTGGATCAGCTCAAGTCGCCACACTTCATATTAGTGCATCATCATCATCATTATTAACATAGGACTAGGCATTACTGCGTAACCGTCCGAGTTGCCACACCTCACGTCAGCACATCAAGTAAAAAGGTAGTGAGGTGAAGGATGAAGATAAGTGAATGCAGTCAAAAGAAATATAAAGTACGAGAAGAAAGGAAAGAGGAGTGACAAAATGGTGAGATTCGGTATAGCGTTGTTAAGATGAGGATAATGTGTGTATACATCTGCGCCACTGACTTCGGTTCTGAGCCATATCACCTAGGGTCTCCAACCACTGGTTCCTCTTGTCCCGTGGACCCCAACCACCTAGTCTGCATCGTCCTACATGGCTTAAACCAACAGTCAGAGACTTCATACATTGGTGCCATGTTTTAGTCTGGCCACCTCGGGCCTTTTTCCAGCCTGAACCCACCTCAGCCAACATTGTGTGACGAGGCAATCGGTGACTAGGCATACGTAGTACGTGTCCCAACCATCTCAGTCGATGAAGGTTCACAACCTCGTCGACTGACTTACCTCTTCTCCCTAAAACTCTACACCTAACTTCTGCATTACTCACATGGTGACACCACGGAATACGTCCTATACTACGAAGGCAACGGTGGTCAAACACCTGAAGCTTTTGTATCCTCCACTTTCAATGGCCATGTTTCACAGCCATACAGTAGAACAGAGCGGACTGCTGTGCAGTACACGCGACCCTTAATAGACAAACGAATATCACGGCGGCGCCATAGGTGGCGCAAATTGGCAAAAGCCAATCGAGCCTTTTGTATCCGTGCAGAAATCTCATCGGCAACTAACCCACCGGGTTGATCCTACTTCCCAGGTAAGTGAAGTGGTCAACACACTCAACCACTTCACTCTCTATTGTTAACCGCGGTACCGCTGAAGACCAGTCCTGGAGCAAAAATTTGCATTTGGGTGGTGAAAATCGCATCCCAAACATTCTCAAATTCCCACTCAAAGTGTTCAGAAGACTCTGCATCTTGTCAGCGTCTTCACCTAACAGGACTATGTCATCTGCATATTCTAGATCTAAGGAAAATTCACCTGTGATCGGGTCAACGTCTTTGTAATTAGGTGACGAGAGGGAAACCTCCATAAGAATATCTATGATAAAATTAAATAAGAATGGGGATAGTGGGCATCCTTGACGGACACCACTTGATGAGTATAGCTCCCTGGACAACTCACCATAGGCTCTAACATGCCCACAAGTGTTCGAGTAGAGAGCTTTCAATAAGGTGATGTACTTACTAGGCACGCCTTTCAGTGACAGACATTGCCATAAGACTTCTCGATCAACGGAGTCAAATGCCGCCTTCAGGTCGAGAAATACAGCTATTGTCGGGCGTCTGTAAGCATGCCTATGTTCCAGGACCTGGCGCAGTGTGAATATTTGGTCGATACATCCACGGCCAGGTCTAAAGCCTGCCTGGTTTTCTCGGGCTTGCTGTTCCCGAGCTCCACTCAGGCGTCGGAGAATTATAGAACTTAGGATCTTAGACACTATGTTTGTCAGGCTGATTCCTCTGTGGTTATCACAAGAGGACTTCTCGCCTTTCTTGAAGACTGGGATGATCAGTGACTTAGACCAGTCGGAGGGGATCGTATTTGATTCCCATATACTGGCTAACACTTCCGTTAGCCTGACTAAGAGAACTCTACCACCATTCTTGTATACCTCAGCAGGTAGTCCGTCTGGTCCTGCTGCCCTTCCCCGTTTCAGGCTACCTACCGCTTTCTCAACTTCTTCTAGTGTTGGGGGACCTGTCTCTATGTCCCATTCAGGGTCCGACTGGATAGCGGGCAGCGCAATGGTGGCTGGAGGCCAGTTAAACTGTTCCTCAAAGTGTTCTGCCCATCGTCCCAGTCGCCTTCCCTGCGAGTGAATCGCCGATCCGTCCTTCTCCGCTATAACCTCACTAACTGTTGTTGACCATTTCCCCCCAGTCTCCTTAATAAGTCTAAATAACTGTCTACTGTTACCGATCGCCGCTGCCTTTTCCATCTCTTTAGCCTTTGCTGCCCACCACTGTTCACGATCGTTGCGCAGACTTTTCGTCAGTTTATTTTTAAGTTGCGCTCGCTCTTCATTGTACTCAGAGCCTGCAGGGATGCATTCACGTGCATCCATTAGTTTGGAAGAAGCTGCTGATATCCACTGGCTCTTTTTAGCCATTATCTTGGAGTCGGCTACAGTCTCCAGTGCTGCTTTTACAGTAGACTGAAGATGGCACCAAGCTTCTTCTGGATGAGTGACAGTCTTTTGTTCCGATAACTGCCTAGCCAACTTCTCACTGAACACGGCTTTGGTGTTTTCGTTGTCCAGCAGAACTCGTAGTGGTTTTGTTGCCAAATTTTTTCTACGTCCATTGAGACGCAGGCATATACGTGCTCGGACCAACGCATGATCGCTGTCCAAACACGTACTCCAGAAGGAGCGGCAGTCTTCCACCGATCCTCTCCAGCGATGACTAATAGCAATGTGGTCTATCTGTGTCCATCGCTGAGTCGAGCTCGGTGGACGCCAGGTCAGACAGTGCCTTTCTTTATGTCTGAAATTTGTGCTGGCTAAAAATAGGCGGTTATCTGAGCATAGTTGTAATAGGCGATCACCGTTATCTGTACGTTCAGCTGGGATTCCGAAAGTGCCACCTAAGTGCCTTTCTGCCTCACTCAGTCTACCCACCTGTGCGTTGAGGTCACCTGCAACAACCACTACGTCCGAACGTTTGGCTTTCGAGAGGAGGTTAGACAGTTTATGGTAGAACTCGTCCTTCACTTCATCCGAACTACAGTCAGTGGGTGCGTAAGCAGAGATTACAAAGAGACAACGGCGAGTCTCACTATTCCTTTTAGTTCTCACTGTGCCGTTCAGCCTCATAGCGCAGAGGCGACTATCAACTGGGATCCAGTCTAGTAGTGAGTTTTCTGCCCTAGTGCTTAATGCTATATATAGGTGATATAGGTGACCGTATTAAGTTATGCCGTGATTTTGATGCCCACTCGCTCCCGTAACCTGTAGGAGGTATCATATCTTCAATTAACGAACGTGGTCCAATAATCA